TAAGTATTCAGGATTCAGAATTGGAGTAATGTTCCACTTTTCCACTCTTGGTATTGCAACACTATATCATGCCAGTATATGGAACACGTTTTGATACCAGATCTCTATTTACTCGTATTTGAGTAGAGTTTAATCCATCTGGTCTTTTTGGATTATTGAAATCAAACAGCTGTCTCAGTCAGGCATAATCGGTCACTGTGTCTTAAGATAGATCACCAACTGCTCTGGTACGTACGAAATAAAAAAAAAAAAATTCATTTTTATTGCTGGTTTGCCCGGAATTTTTATGCTAACCTCGCAAGTATCAGCAACCCTGTTATAAGGGTCTACGATTATGATATAAATGACCCAAATAATTGTAAACGGCCTATGGCCATACTTAGTACTCATATTGTTTAACTTGACTTACATTACCTGTACTGTACTTTATGACTTATGCTATGATTTAAGTGCACCAGTTGACTCACACTATCTGTATTGTATGTTTGTATTATGTGCATCCCTAGACTCAGGTTAAAGCCACTCTTTTCCCCTTTTTCAGCTCTACCAGATGGCATTTTCAGGTCTTTATTGGACCTCGGCGCACACTTTATTTTTGCTAGAATATTTTATTATTCCATTGCTCAAAAATATGATCATAATTCATAAAAAATTATTATATCTTACGTTAGTTACTCACGGCAGCATTCGAAACAACCTACATGTTCGGCAAGGGGTAGGGTCCTTGACCCAGGCACCCTGGTGTTACACAGCTTTAAATGCGACATAATCGGTCACCAGACGAAAGATGAGTTTAAAATATCCATAGAACTATTCTACAGGCTTATCAATAAATAAGGCACAATAATTTCACTCAAGTTTGGAAACAATTTTAAGAAACAGGCCATAAACGCTTTTTCAGCTCTCTCTTTCTTGAAAAAGACCTACATATATTATTACTGGCATCTTGTGTTGATGATGCAATCATGTTCAAATTTGAAAAAAGCCAGTATGTATGCATATATATATACACATGTAAGGTATAAAATCTAAAACTTGATACAATCAGTCAATCCCTTAATTTCGTTTGACGGTAACTAACAACCGCGATTTTAGTTATGAAAAATAACCAAGATGTGATTTTTGCGGTAAAGTTACAAAACTATACAAATTGCTTTTATCCATTACACTATGAATGTTTCTCTCATGCGAAAGTGTCCCGTTTTTCGAATTGTATGGAACTGTCATGTGTCGAAATACTATCAGAAAACTGTAAAGCGAGCTTCGGAATGTAAACAAAAAACACCCCAGTTGGTGACCAAAGCTTCGAAGCAGTGCTTCACTTCTAGCGCCGGTTTGGCCACTCCTTCCTTTCTTACCTTCCTGATTCCTTCCCAAAGGGGAACTTCACACAAGGGTTATGGGTTATTTAGTTATGGCAAAGCACACGAGGGCTATCTGTAAGGATCTTAAGTTTTACTAACGTTTATTTTATTTTAAATCTTTACTATCACTTCTTATTTTCTACTTCCGGCCAGAATTAAAAGCTTTAACTTATTTATGCAAATTTGTCTGGCGAACGCCAAGTATTAAGTTGTGGCTTTTTGCCAAGCAAGAGAGAGGAAGGAGTTAGTAGAAGCAGGCCGCTTGCCTTAGCAGTTTTTACTCGGTTGCTGGTTGCCTTCAAGGCCAGAGGGTTCATCCTCTTGATAATTTAAACGTATCGTAGTGTTAACAGTTCTCTGTATACATACGGCCTTTCTGTTAATTTACAGCCAATCTTCAGTAGACACTTGTTTATTAATAAAAAGTTAGCTTAGTTAGAATTTAGTTAATATTTTTATTATTACGTTCAGACCACAAGTGGTTGGTCTCTGTATTCCGAAGTCCGGAAATCATTGTAAGAGAAGAAAATAAAGGGTTTCGTATACCCTTCCTGTGTATCTTGTCTACTTCCTACATTTATTGAACATAGCTTTAGTAAGTCCTGTTCCGAGTCAGGTCATGTAATGTTCCCAAAGCAAGTAAGGAGAAACACTGAACCTGATATATCTGCCTAAAGGAAGGGATGCCTTCGTGGAGGACTTTCTAAGGAAAACTGGCTCATATACATGTTACACATGAGGAAAACCACGGAAACTCCCGTGCAGCCAGCCCGTTCGCGGGATTCGAACCTCAGACCGAACTACCAGCGTTCAGCGTCTTTACCGCTCGGCCGCTGGTGGGCCCCACACAGGGTGAAAGCATTTCGCTTTACTAAGTAGGTTATTGTTAGCGCTGTAGCATTCAATATGCCATAGGAGAAAGGGAAAGCATTCCAGGAGAAATTTGTAGACACAAGTGCTTTCGATGTTTGGGGAAAAGAGATTCTCCCTCTCTCGATGCGAAAGAGTTAACTTGGACGGAAATGGAATTTGTTACAACGTTGCACTCTTTCATATCTGTTGTCAGTAATTTAAAAGACATTTTGAAACACACACGGAACGATAATAAGTTTTTAAAATATAATAACACAAAAATTGAAAGGGAACATTTATCCAGAGCCACAAATAATCCTTCAAAGAGCCGCATGTGGGTCGCGAGCCGCAGGTTGCTCCCCCTGGTATATAAGGTATTTCCCCCTCCTTCTTAGCATGCTTTCGTGGTGTAGTGGTGAGCACGCTCGACGCATATTCGAGAGGTCCGAGGTTCGAGTCCCGGTGAGGGCATTGCTCATTTTTCATCTCTCCTGCTTCCAAAAAATACCTAAATGTCTCTACAATCGGAATATATTAGGAAATTATTGCCGGTATCATTTTCGCATCACAAGTCGAAGGACATTCTGCTGTATGATTTATCACCAATGTTATTGCATTAATAGGGTGGCATCTCGCAGCAATTAAACAGGATGAAGCATCTACCTCTGCCCGTTCACAAAGGGCGAATACTTTTAGGGAGTAATGTCGCAGTCCTCCTTTGATCTGTCGATTTTTCCCAATCCAATAAGTATGGAGCATATTAGGATATTAGCTGCAGACATATTTGAAAATACGTGAAGGTTTAGAGTAAATATAGAGTATCTTGAAGCAAATCCAGAAGGACATTTGTGGTATTTCCATGAGTTCATGCCAGGCCAGGGAGATTATGTCATTTATTGAAACATAGGAAGCTATGCAACGTTATGATACGTAACGGTTCTACATCTAAATTTGCAGAATAAATGGACTAATTGCTTTTCAGTTTTGTTTAATTTATCTTGGTGATCTAAATGCTCGTGTCAATTTTCATCAAAATTGAATAATTTTTCTAGAACCGCGATTTTTTTTTTTTTTTTTTTTTTTCAGAGTGTACATAAATTAAGAAGAACAAAGTAAAACAATTTTCTTTTGGCAATATGTGGGTTTAGTGACTCCCTCGTTTTTTTTTTTCCCCTGAACGGTTCTTGAATTTAAAACAAAAAAATGACATGAAAATTGCCCTTTTAGCACATGTTTTGTCATTTGTTTAAATGCACTTTGCATTAAAGCAAGGTGAAGTGTCTTTTATTTTACTAAGAAGGTCATTTTATTGTATATTTTTGTGCATATACAGAGGACTGTTTACTTTCGCAGGACATCCAGTGTCGTCCATCCTGTCACACCCACAGTGAATTGTTCATAGACACTTGACACTTTTCTTTTGTCAAAAGAAACGCACAAGTAAAAAAAAAAAAAAATATGGTTCATATTCCAATGAATTCTTTTCGGTGGTGCTCCAGTCCATAATTAATCGAATCGAGAATAAAGTTGCGCCATACCTGACAAAATGATATAGTTCTTTTAAATTCTTGATAGAAAACTTTCTAATTTACTTGAAATTATATTCCAATAAATTAGAAAAATTAGCGTAAATTAGTATATTAGAATATGTAGAAAAAAGGATATTACGCAAAATCATTTAAGAAATTAAATTTTGAAAATTAAACATACATCACAAAACTCAATTATATAGATTAAAAAATAAATAATAAAAAAAAAGAACAATAAATTGGAAATATATTTAGCTATTAAATTGATCGTATTAAGCTAATTTAAGACATTCTGCATTTCACTTATGATTTAGCGATTTCAAAATTATTGCAGTTTATAAAAATAGCGTAAAATTTAATTTCATCAATTCCATGCATAGTTACGGTTTAAGAAAAACCATTACAGAATTAGCTGAATTAAAGGTAAAAGAACGTTTACCTAAATCTTTCAACCTTCAACCTCTCTTCATAAAATGAAGCAATTGATATGGGAGTGCAATAAACTATATAATTTCTCAGTTCAAGCAGGAAAACATGATAGACAGAAGTTAAACTGAGCAGAGTTAATGTTAAATATCTCTTTCAGATATAACATTCTCCAATCAGAAAATAAATAAATAAGGAAATTAAATAACTGTTTCAGATTGTTATTCAAAATACGTTCTTAATCTGATACTGTAACTCACGCTACTATGCGTTAAGTTTTATAAATTTTTAGATTTCTCGGCATTAAGTGACTATGAATAATAAGAGATTTATAATCATATTTACGAAGTATTTTTATATAAAATGCAAATTTGAATTCATAACTATCTGTTTACTTTCTGATTCAATTATAAACTACAAGCAGTATTCAGGAGCTTTCCTCTTGCCTCATATAATAATCATCTGGTAAGCCCCGAGAATGTGGTTATAATAGCTTTAAACTTATTGTTTGCTACTAAATTTTCGAATAACGTCAGACATATTGTCGTTCGTGCATAACCATAAAAATATTGCATATTTTCCAAACATTAAATATATTAATATCTAAAAAGAACAGAATAAAATAATATCAGCAATAGCACGTGACAATAAACTAAGTGCGTTACGAGCAATAATATGAACCTTTAAATCTAAATGTGGAAGGAAACGGTATTGTTTACTAATTGAAATCACTTAAGAGCTCAAAACAGGGAAATAGGCCGCCAGAATTAGATTCCGGTTATGACGTAAAAAGCGTCACTTCCGTTACCTCTTAACAGGAACCGGAATCTCGAGTCAGTGGCGGTTGGTTGCTAACAAACATGGCGGATGAGTTGACGTTCACTAGCGAAGCTGTTTTGAAATATTTGGTGGATAACGGTGGTAAAGTCAGCAATCATGAATTGGTAAAACATTTCAAAAAGTTCCTAACAGGGCCAGAAAGTCAGCGTAAGTTTTTATTAGTTATTGGTTAAAGATTTATTTTATAATCATGGTGCATTTATTCGAAGTAGTTCAAACACTTGCTTATTTAATAAGGTTTCACAAACCCGTTAATGTATGGAAAATATTAAACGTTTTCCGGGTTCTTGTTTAGCGGAGCGAAAAAAAATGCTTATTAGATTGGAAAGATATCATTTATTTGACATGAATTTCGTATTTTCATGTAGTTTGGGATATTAATAGTTATCATGTGCTGTTTGTTTACATTCGGTTGATCAGAATTATACAAGGCATATTTGAAAAACATTTATTTATTTGTGATTTTTACAGCTTCGAATGTTTGGAGCAATACGTTAAACATAATATGAGACATAATAAGTATTCCAATTTTAAAAACTTCTGTCATTTTTAAGAACTAGAGAACTCAGCATTAGGGTTTTAGTAAACATACAAGGCTGAATCGATATAATGTAGTATATTGAAGTTAAAATATGTTAACGTTTGCGTACATTTTTTAAGAATTAAAAACTGCTTGAAATTTCATATATAATAATAACGCAAACAGTTTCGGCTGTATTTATTCAGAAATAGGACATGTTTAAAATGATTTATATGCAGTATAATTAATTGTAAATGTATGAAACTTCATTTTTAAGAGATAGGGAAAGTAACGCGAATTTAATGTTTTTATATTCTGCTTTAGTAAGTTTCACATTAAAAAAATACAATTTTTGTGACTGAAAGTTATGTATTTATGAAAATATTTATTAGTTTAATTAACACTCAGCAAAAATTCAGAAGTTTAGAATATTTTTCCCTCTACAAGGGCGTAACATAATTATGATACTGGATAGTAAATAAATAGAGGTTTGTCATTGTGAGAGTTTATTTTTTATCTTAATTTTTATACTTTAGAATATATTGTGAATAAGGCAGTTGGTTCGACAAAGCATGCGAGAGCTCTAAGTAAGTTTTGTCTCAAACTTTGATCGAAAACAACTTAAGGGATGAAATCTCATGTATCTGCCTTTATCACTTGCCTCTCTAGAGAACGTACAGATCAATAGATTTTACGTTTCCCATTCTGTGAGGATATTGCCATCACAAACATCTATGCCTTGCACATGATCTGAATCTGAGTTATTGGCTTGATTAGCTACTATATTAAATGGAATGGCTTATTTTAAATATCATATGATATATAAAAGATTTAATTTCAAAACATTAAAATTATGTAGTACGTAAATACTTTATATCATGGATGAAAATTTACATCTGGTCATAGCCAAAGTCAACTGTATTGAAAGGAATGTCTTGCTCGATAGCATTAATTTCTCAAGCAATAAATATTACCAGATGAGTTTTTCGACAACAACTTGTACTAAATTTTAGGTAGTTGAAAAAAAGGTATTCGCATATTATTGCAACCATCTTTGTGCAGTTTGGTGAATTTTACAGAAGAAAAAGGACAATTACTTTTATCGTAAAAAATGATGTATTATGTACATACATATTATAAGTTTCAACTATATATTCCAAAAGACAATCCATAAACCTGGTTACAAACAAGTTTTTTTTATAAGGGAAATTTCATAGCTATCATTTTTGATAAACAGTATTGTTTAGTGATTTTGTGACAAAATAATGTATTTCTGGAAAAATTTTACTTCTCTTTCTTTTATTGTATGAAAATCCCTCAAGCACAAATTTTAAAAATCCAGTTCAAGACAAAAATATAATCATAATTTTTCTATTAGAAATTAGAATACAACAAAAGGAACACGTACAAAAATGACGACGATGAAAGCTAAATGTATTTGTCATGTGTGTAATGTGTAGTTGCCTGAATAGTTAGTTATTTTGGGGTTGGTTACCAGAATTTTGTGTATTCTGAAGATTTGGCAACTTTGAATTTTGTGCTTTCTGAAGATAAGGTGGTTATGATAATACGCAAGTACCAAAAGAATTTGGTTTAAATTTTAAGGCTATTCATGTATTCTGTTCCTAAAATGTGTTTTAATTGGAATACTATATCTTTGCATGAACAACTTGATAAATTTACCTTTTAAACATGTATCTTCTAATCACAATTGCAAAATTATTTATTATCATGCATATGAGTTGCAAATTTATTAATATCATTTAAAGTGTTATTAGGTATTTACTTTACATTATAAACTTAGTTTAAATAATTAAAAAATAAAGAAACTATTTTGTTAAAATTTTAATTGCATTCTTTGGCACTTACGTATTATCCTGTTGACCACTGGTGGAAATTTTGGCAATGGTCGCCAGTCATTATCGCCGAATTCTAAAGGAAGTAGTCATTCATAATGGCATTAAATTGCACTACTTGGCCAGACAATGGTATAATATGTATCTACTTGACAATGGTATAATATGTATCTACTTTTTTCTAAAATATTTCCTTTACCATGCTGGAACTTTCTTTACTTTATTATAAATTTACACTCATGTCCATAAACTAAGGATAATGCAAAATCAAGCAAAGGAAGAGTTAGAAGCAAAAAAATTTGACTTATTCATAAAGCTTATTTATTAAACAAAATGTAAAGAGCAAAAAAAAGATGCTAATGTTGTTTGATATTATTAAAAAAATTAGCGATTTTTTTTTTCTTCCTGGAGCAAATTACAACAAAAAAAAAAAAAAAAAAAAAAAAAAAAAAAAAAAAAAAAAAAAACCTATTTACAAAAAATCAATATTACATGGTTGGTATGATTGTTAATATACTGTATGTCTCCCAGACGATGCAATACAGTCCGTACAACACCTAGGCATGCTGAGTGTCAAATTATCGATCTGATCTTGGGGGATATTACACCACTCAAAAAGCAATGCTCCCCGAAGTTCCGGTAGACATGTAGGAGGAGGTTGATGGGCTGCAACTCGTCGGCCAAGCATGTCCCACACGTGCTGTACTGGATTCAAGCTCGGTGAGAATGCTGGCCAGTCCATACGAGTGATATCCTCCAATTGAAGGCATTCGCTTACAAACAAGTTTTTTTTTACAAGATGTTTGCACGGTGAGGACGAGCGTTGTCATCCATAAACACAAATTGTGCGCCCATGGCACACCGAAACAAACATACATGTTGTTCCAGAATGACGTCCCGATAGATTTGGCTTGTCATAGTTCCAATTTGAACATGCAGGTCAGTTCTGGAACCCAGAACGAGCACTCCTGCACCCCAAATGAGCACTCCAGAACACCCCAAACGAGCACTCCTGCACCACCGTAATGGTGTCGTTCAATGATGTTTTCTTAGTGGTAACGGGTACCTGGAGCTCTCCATATGAATGTCTGGTGAGAATCAGACTGCAAGCTAAACCTGGACTCGTCGGAAAACATCACTGAAGCCCACTGTTGCAGTGTCCACAATGCATGCTCTCGAGGCTCGAGGCTAACCGCAGGCGACAGTGAATTGCAGTAAGTGGAACACATCTGACAGGTCTACGAACATATAGACCAATCTGTTCTAAGAATCTGTACACGGTCTGCCTTGAAATTGTCGTACCAGTGGCTGAAGAGAGCTGACGAGACAGGTCTGAGGCTGTGCTCCGCCTGTTTCTTTTGGCAGTAACTGCCAGATACTGGCTCTCATTTGGCTTTGTAACTCTGGGGCGACCTGTGCTGTAATGTCTACTCACATTACCATCATCTTGGAATCATTGCCAAAGCCTAGAGATGACACTCTGAGCAATTCCAAATTCTTCTGATACTTCCAGTTGGGCACGTCCACATTCCAGACGGCCGATAATTCTACCACGTAAAAAATCATTCAAATGCGTCCTTTGTGTCATAACTATTCAGTTATTCCACTGAAATGCTTATAAAGCACCTGCGAACAATTTTACTTCTTTGCCTGTATTCCTTATATATCACTCTCTTACACACTCGTCATTGTGACGTACCATCAGTGTCATGTGGTTGCTTCCTGAAATTTGCATATGATTTCTTGAAGATATGTGTAGTGATTTTACATTTGATATATTTATTTTAGAGTCCGATTTCTGCGTGACTCCGAATTATCCTTAATTTATGAATATGAGTGTATTTTCTGAATTGGTAGAACAATGTGACGGTATCCATGTTTAGCTTATTATAATTTAAAGTGATTTGTGTTATATGTGTATGTAAATAGTTATCAACCTGTATGTTCTCTGGTACTTTTAGATTAACTACACCTACATAAAAAGTCACCAGCCCATTTCTGACTCTACAGATTGGTAAAAAATCATTTATTTGGCTTGTAGGTATCAATCTGTTCATCAGTACATTGTTGGCCACTAAAATTATTACACAATGAAGGCCGTATGTAACAAATGTTAAATTTGTATGTGAAGTACTTCATACTGGGATGTACAAATGATTATCATTCCAATGCATGCATACAAAGCAGGTATGAGTAATGCCATTAATATTGTTTATAAATGGGAGGAGGGAATATGCAGCTTCTATTAGTTCGAGGACAGGAGCACCAATAGGTAGAAGACTGTCTTAACTCCTTCGCCTACTGATTTTAGCTGGGCATATTGGAATGGCCTTCACGCCTAGGGTAACCCTACCAGGAGTGAATATCCAATGTACTTCACACCCATTCTGCCCAGGAACACCCTCCTGCCACGATGAGGCAAACATCAGGACTTGGGAGGGACTTTTATGACTTTGTTGACTCGCATCAGGTGTCTGCCAAGCATATATTAGGCTGTTTGGGGCCTCTCTAGGAAAGATATTTACTCCAATCCTCTCCAACTTTATTAGAGTCAATGGTCTTTTGGACCTTGTCTGACTTCGTCAGAAACTGGAGCAAAAGCCACAAAATAAATGGGAAGATTAAGCAGAGAGTGCCTCATGTGGAAATCTCATTTGAATGTAGGTTATTTGTGTAAAGGTCATGCTATGCTTTGTGTGAGAAAGAACTTCTATCAGCACATGTCAGACTTATACTGTGACAGTATCGGAGGCTATTCAGACTGCGATTTATTATTTGGCAATTTTCTGCTCATGTTGGTTGAGATCCAATATTATCAGGTGAATATAAAACTGACATTCGAAGAGGGCCATACTCAATAATTTGCAGGATCTCTGCAGCTCTGAGCCACCAGAGCCTGAGAGGACAGGCATGTTGTTCTCTCTAGGCTTTGCAAAATCGTGCATCATGCACCCTGAATGAGAAACTTAGCTGGTGTATGGGACAAGTATTTACATGGACAGGGCAATAATGTCTGCAGCATTACTCATTGCCAGCACACTGACCATTGCTGTGGCTTCCCTTGATGCTACAGAGATAGGCACATCTACATTAGCATGAAAACAATGACTGATGCAGCAGTGACACCATGTCTCATATTTAGACACATCCTGGTTCTGCATACAGTATTATGTTGGATGTATCTATGTGTAGAGGCAAAAGATAATGGATGTGGCCAGTTTGCATTCATTTCATGGTACAGGCACAGCACTTGGCATACTTGTATGAAGGGCTGTCGAGTTGGAATCGGAGTCGGGCAGATTTTGGGGTAAAAGGAGTCGGAGCTGGAGTCTAAAAACAGGTCAAGTCAGACCCCAGTTTTTGTTGGACAGTTTAAATTTGAAATGAAATTAAAATGAATTGAAAAAAATTAGTGACAAGCTGATTTATTATTTTTATTTTTGAACTATATACATTAATAAATAGTTATTTTCTATTTTATTGATATATTAATAAATAAACATAAGGGAGGAGAATGGATGTGATATTTGCCATTATTGATTAAACTGATTCATTTGGCTACAAATCTCACTGATAAATTTAGGTAAGCAGCAATAGCCACAAGAACTTTCAAAATTGATGCATATATGAGGGCGTCGGAGTATTTAAAATTCCGCTAGTCAGAATCGGAGTCGGTCATTTTCCCTGCTGACTCCACAGCCCTGCTTGTATGGGCTGTCATTGGATACACATCCCAGATGCCTCTTATTTGTATAGTCGGTAATGTAGACAGCTGTCATCGAGGTCTGTGCATGCCCTGTTTTCAAGGCCTGCATAATGCCATCTTTCAACAAGATAATGCATGACTGCATGTTGTCCATGCTGTCTTGATCTTGCTTGATACCGAAGATGCTTGACTGCAGTCCTAACTAGCACGTTCTCCAGACCTCATCTGGTCGTGGGTTGCAGAGAGACTGGTGTGGCACTACTTGCTATATAGTTACAATAGTTGATAAACATGATTGATAAACTCTGGTATAGAGTTGAAGCCACATAGAATAAAGCACTGTATTTGTCACCCAAGCTCGCTTTGACTCACTGCTCAGATGGAGCCACTGTTGCTGCTAGAAGCAACAGCTCTGTGTATTGAATTTTAAATGCTATGTATCCCAAATCACCTGCAAATTTAATCACACATACTTTATATGTAGAATAAATAAAATTCTACTATGTGCTTTCCTTCTTGGCGTAATAGCCAGCAGTGTAATAATAAAAGGATGCATTTTGCAAAAAACAAGGAATTTTTTGAGAAAAAATTTAAATCTATATGACCAATATTTACATTTTTACAACTGGACAGGGGTTGCTGATCAATGAAATAACAGTTAAATATAAATCATGTAAGTGATATGAATCATACATACATATATGTAATATAAATCATGCAAACACTTACTAAACATGTGTATGGTTGTCATCTGCATATTTAAAAATAAACCAAAAACACAATAATTGAGTGTTTAAACCGGAGATGTGGCTAATCAGAAATTTCTGCTTTCTACTAAATTTTTACTGCAAATTTTTACTATAGTGAAATAAAAGAATTACTGAATTTTATAGTAAAATAAATGAATATATTTTACTATAGCTAATATTGGTGGATTTGTTTTTATATTGTAAACATATTATCCTGTAATATCTTAGATGGCTATTTTATGTATGGGTATTTATTTTGAGATTTCATGATAGTTAATTTTCTTCTGCAAATTTTCACAGGACTAGTTTCAATGGTTTTACCAAACCATCATCTTCAGCTAGCAAAGTGCAAATGACACTTTGAACCAGCTGAGGATAATGGTTCGGTAAAACCATCAAAACTAGTCCTGTGAAAATTTACAAATATAATGCTGATTGTTGTTGTTTGACTTAAATTAATAACTATATTATTAACTAATATTTAAATTAACATTTGTTTGACGTGTTATTTTATCTTAATTTCTCCTGTTAGTTTCACATTTTCATGATTCTGACAGAAGACATATGTAAATATTATATTTTGTGCCATTAGTACTGTATATAATGTTCTCTATAATGCAGCATAATTGGTGAAAGAAATTCACATAAAAAGTGTTTTAATGCATTAATAACGAATGGTGTTTTAAAAGTCTGTGAGAATTTAACAATAGGGTAATGTTTTGAATGAGGAAAGATTTTATATGCCTTTCTTTTAATATTTAAAAGTAATTAAAGTTGTAATGCATATTTAACTATAAAAGTAAACATATATATTTTTTTTTATTCTAATAATGCTAGCAATCATAAATGCATGATTTAAATAAAATCCAAGCAGTCATGTACCAACATATATACATGTAACATAGGAAACCTCATTCGTTAATCACACATTGCTTTTTCTTTCATTGAATACTTATGCAGGACAACCAACTTCTGAAGTTTTGCATAAGATGAGGCAAAAAATGCAAACTAGTTTAAGATTATCAGTATCTGAGTTTTAATAATTTAAAGAGTAAGATATCTATGACTGGATAAATAGAATGATTGAAAAAAGTAGAATTGTTCTGTACTAGCAAAACATATGGTTATTCAAAAGAATGTTCCTAGGCTGCAACACAAATCCTTTTCCTAGAAGATGAAAATTCTGTTACATTGCAAAATATTCACCTTTTTTTTTTTTTTTTCTTACAGCTGATGCTCGAGCAGTATTTAAAGAATATGTGAATGCTGTAGCTACAATTAAACAAGAAGATGTAAGTATCAGTTTCTCATCTTTTTTTTTTCTTTTTGTCTTGCCAATTACTTATAAAAGACTACACATCCAAATTACTTTACTTGTATATTAACTAACACCTGTCATAATTTTGCCACTTTTACAATGCTGGACAAAGAAATTTTCACATCCTGGCAGTAAGAATCTCTGGACATCTTTAATATAATATTAGTAAAATGTAAAACAGCTTATTTAAATTAATTTTTTGGTTCATTTAGCATTCTTCTCCATTAAGCTCAACATTCCAAAGGGCTGCTTATGTAGTCCATCTTTTAATTTGGTGCTGATTTTTGGCAGTAATGTATCAGTAAATTTGTCTTATTGTTGCAGTAACCTTTTAGGTTGGTTGATTTAATTAAGGCTATCTGCCGAGGGAAGGATGCCTTCCTGGAGAATGTTTCAAGGGAAACTGACTCATAGTCTCATTGAACATAAAGGGAAACTATGAAAATACTATGCAACCGTCCCACTAGGATTTAGTTGTTTGCTGATATTTTGTGATTTAGCTTTGTTTTGTAGGTGGTAACAGAGAATAAACATTTGACAATTGATAAGATGATCCACTTCTTTCAAATTGATTGCCTTCTTTCATTTTGACAATTCCTTTAATCAATATTATGCTTCCACATTATGCTTTTGTGAATGATATGCACTTTCACCAGCAGTGACTTCTGTTTTAGTAAATTTCTAAGGTAACCTACTTATAAAATTTTAGTAACCTACTTATAAAATTACTATTAGTAACCTACTTATATACTATTTTAGTAACCTGCTATTAGTAAACCTACTTATAAAATTGGGTTGAGAATGTGAGAGGTAAGAAACAGCAAATGGAGTTAAATAAAGTGCGAGCAGAAAAGGGTATGATTATTCATAAATTCTGTCTATATTTTTATTAATAGGTTATTATAGTTATTCATTGAAGTATTTTCTTATTTATATTTATTATAGCTTTGTTAGTTATCCAATCAATGCTAAATAGGCATACCATTACTAAGAAGTTATTATTTGAAACATTTTATTGCTGGTATAATACTATTATTGTTAAATTATGATCCAAAAATGATAAGTCTAGGTTACTATATAAGGAAACTCTTTATTACATTGGAGCGGTAAAGTCGCTGAACACTGGTAGTTCGGTCCGAGGTTCGAATCCTGCGAACGGGCTGGCTGCATGGGCGTTTTCGTGGTTTTCCCCATGTGTAACGTGTATACGAGGTCAGTTTCCCTTCGAAAGTCCTCCACGAAAGCATCCATTCCCTTAGGCAGATAGCCCTAGTGTGCTTTGCCATAATTAAATAAACCAAACCAACCTTTATTACATAGATACATTTTTCAAATGGTATATTTATTGTATGCTTTAGTTTTTATTAATTTTTTGTATGCATATATATTATGTCAATTATTCAGTACTCCAAATTCGTGCTCGTTACTCTTTCATATATGTATATTTAATTACAGTGTTATTAAAATTAATCATATAAAAAGGGAAGAGAGAGAGGCTTTTTAGAACATTAATTTGTGCATTGTCATTATAACAGTTTGGAATATAGCTAATATGGAATATAGCTAATATGGAACTGTGCAAGTAATTCAATTTAATACATATTGTACCTTTAGATATACTTTTCCAACTTATAAAAAAATATCTGTTATATTTTTAATACATATATTAAATGTCAATAGTAGGAAATGTTTTTAAGGGCTGTATACTGTAGTCTTGTGAATAGTATTATGTTTACTTTTAACTTAAAACTCTCGTTTCATTAATGTGTAAATTTAAAAACAAATTCCTCAAACATTGATGTTAAAGAAGTTTTTTTTAGGTACCTGTATTTTTCCTAATTATGTTATTGAATTTTTGTTAAAATATTTAGAAATAAACTAAAATTAATTGTATTTGAATCCCTCCTACTTTCTTCTTCGTGTGACTCTTACCTGTCTAAACAAAAATGGGGCTCTTCTTATATATAGGTACAAATTAACATGCCTTTGAAGACCTTGACTGACCAAAGGCTGAGTGGAGGAAATTGAATATAAGCTGGTTTTGCTTAAAAAGACCTCCACAAAGGCATTCTACTCCTGAAGTAGATAGGATCATTGCATTTTTAAAATAAAATTTACATTTATGTAACTAATATTTAAATTTCTTAAATATCAAATCTGCATGAAGAACAGTATTCTATTTTTTTTCAGCAGTATATAATACTTTGGGAAAGGTGGATAGGATAGACACATTTATTTATTATACAGGTATATGTTTTATTTACTGTTAATGTTGTTTTATTATGGATATCTCATGTAAGCTTAATTGAAGTTAGTAACACTTTTGTAATAGAGACCCTATCTTATTTTGCCTTATGTTTGCAAAGATAATAACATTGAGTGATATCATTGTACTTTTTTTTTACTGACGTTAGAAACATCTTTTAGGGAAGATTTTCCAAAATTTTTTGGAACATTAAATTAGAATATCAAGTACCTGTCACCCTCTACTGTAGCAAATATTGCCATTGCAACAACATTGCATTTTCTTATACCGGTGACTGAAAACTTGTAGGTTATTAATTAAAAAGCTGATTTACTACTATTAAAACAATGTGCAGTCGAAAGTCGAAAATGATCTATAATCCGGACATCAAAGCTACAAATTTTCTGCGCATGCGTCAACGCATGCGCGTAATACCTTTACGCGTGCGCATAATATGTTTACGCATGCGCGTTTAATGTATAACGGACAGTATAAGCTAAGCTAAAATTATCTAAGTATCTATTTCAGTTAATGTTGCATGCGTTGTTAATTAATCTTCGAATTGGATCCGGCTTATTATTTTTTGCAGAGAGTTAGAGCAATTTTATAAAGGTGAGCTTGAACTTTCGATTATGTCGAATAGAATTTCCGATTCTGGAGCTGCCAAAGGATCTATCTACAAAGTGAAAGCATGTTTCGATGTCCATCAAACAAAAAGTGGAATTGCTGCAAAAAATGGATAAAGGCATATCCTTTGTTTTTCTAACCATTCCGAAATCTGTTTATCAATTTCGCGCTGCTCTGCGGGGGTCGGGGAAACATCGCGGCGCGCAATGAACTGGAAGTTGATCTGTTAGCACTATCCTTATCTTCAGGGCAGATGTTTCATCAAATACACGTCAAATAGTTTTCTGGTTTCAATTTTCTAATTTCGAACTAGAATTAATTCGTAACATTACGAACATTACGAATGTATGCTTTACGCATGCGCGCATTGAAAGAAATGTTTAATAAAGTAAACAAATAAATATTAAGCTTTTTTTTTTTTTTTTAAATTTTGATACCCTTTAGATCATAATTGTTCTTTATTTCATAAATTATGGTTTCATATTTTTAATTTTATAATTTCTGCATGCCATCTTACCAGATTAAATTGATGATCTATAATCCGGAAAAACCGATAATCCGGAATCGCCGAAGTCAAGACGAGTCCGGATTAAAGACTTTTGACTGTATAAATGTCTAGTTGCAGCTCCTGGATATTCCTAGTTTTATTATGGGCCCCCTAACTAGCATGAAGTTTTATCACCTTTATTGTATATTGTCAATTTACAGACAATTCTTTCTAAATTTTTTAACACTGAGAGTCCAGGGGGCATGCCATGTAGAAACAAGCTGGTTCTTGTGGAGTAGCAGGGGAGCCATTCTTTGAGGTATAAGAACCGAAGATTTATCATGTCTTTCGTTAACTAAAGTGACTAGTAAATTATATTGTGTTGACCAGAGTTTGTGCTATGAGTGATATTGAATTGATAAGGTAAGGCTTGTTCTCCTTGTTTGACACAAATGTCCCATATAGAGGAAACTGGAGAAACAAGAGGAAAATGTTGGTGGTTAAGTCAAATGAAATATCTTTCTTTTTCTATCTTGAGTGGTGACATGTTTGATTTTCGTATTTGGAGTATTTCACTATCGGAGTACTGGGGAGATTATATGTAATTATGTTATCCCACACGGTTTCTTTATACTTTTATTTTCCAAAATTAGTATTAAAAAGTTCTTTTTTTAATCTGAAATATACTGTCCTTTATCCAGTGGTGTTTCTTATTAGCTACAGTGAGATTTTATTCCGCCAAGGTTTGAATTATAAACTTGAATAATTAAATTCTTGATTAAATAGAGAAAAAATATATACACTATTTACAAAATACAATCACCATCTTGCGTTATGATGAATTGAACGCGGTTTTTTACCGTGTATTCAATAGTTGGGTCGTAGTTAATAATATTTTTAATGTCCTGGTATTCGCTGTTTTTTATTTTTCGAAGAAATTATGTGATATTGTAAGGATATAATTCATAAGTGCAGGAATTTTAAGGTCTTTCTGAATATCCCTGTTTCTTACAAACCAAGGCGCATTTGCAATGGATCTTAAAATTTTATTTTGAAGTATTCCAATCTTCTTCCTTTCATTTTTATTCCAGGCATCGAGAACTTTCCAGCCCAGAATTTTGGGAAAACTGTTGACAATAACTTGTTGTCCGGTCCCCGTTCATATCATCAATATTTAAGTTATTTAATTGACTTTATAAAGCTAAATATGCCGAATTTGTTTCTTTGCCACTTTCATTTAGCTTTGGAAAAAATAACTGTTAAAATCAAACTGCACTCTTCAGAACCTGCACTAAGAATAAGAATAAGGTAAAATTACTACCTACTTTCATACCAAGCTGTTGCAGGCAGTTTATCCCGGTCTCCCTTCGACTTTTTAGTACAAGTGAAAAAAACCGCATGATTTATGGGATGACCCAACAACTCGTCTGGAGCCTGAAGAGCAGCTTACAAGAAGAAAGTCTGTTTCCAGAGTTTACTCTTAGCACCCCTGTCAGTGCTGATCACCTGAAATTATCGCTTTCATATCATTCTGGAGACGCCAGTGGGTACCAATTAATTCCGATGCTTGCAGGTGTATCTCTGTTATTAATCTCTGCTAGAATTTGTAGGCAGT